GGATGCCGGCCAGAATCCAGTTGAACGTCGCCAGCGAGTCATCATCGAGCGTAGTCGGCAGGGTTTGCAGCGTGTCACTCTCCGTCCATTCGAGTGATTGATACGCAGCTCAGAACTGTCGCATAAATGCCGTCCAATCGCCAACCTTGGCCTCGAAGCGTTGGACGTGAAGCCGCCGTCTTGAAACCCGAGGGTGGTGACCCTGGCGCCCCATCGGCGCCTGATTCCGCTGGCAGCGCCGTGGGGGCTGCAGTTTCATTGTTGGTGCTTCCCGGTGGTGCGGGAACGGCCGCGGGGTGGCTTGGCACCATTGGCAACGCCCGTTCCGTTGCCATAAAGCAGTCGAACGCCTCCGTCAGCGTCGCCAGCCTGGTCAACCAATGAGTCATGAGGGCCCTCCATTCACGAGCCGGCCCCGGGGTCTCGGCCCCGCTCGGTACGTCCTCCAGCCCCGCAGACACCTGGTCGACCAGGTCCGCTTGGGGAGCAACACCTTCTTGGCCGGACGCGGGAATCACGTCCACATCATTGCTGTCGTCGGACGAGTCCGTCGGCACGTTCTTTCACTTAGCCGACTTCTTTGACATGTCGGCGTGGTCCCGTAGTCACTCCTGACACCAAATGTAGTAGTCGACCTGACGCGGATCACTTTCTTGTTTTCTCCAACACCACTTTTATTACAACTCTTCACATTACGTCTGTGACTTCGTCATTATGCTTAGCCGCAGCTTGCTCGCCGCTCTCCGCCCGTCTCGCTCACTCCGCTTCCTCCCCTATCCCTCACTGTCCCTCTGCGTCATCAGTCTCTCTCCGCCGCTCACTGTCTCTGTCTCTCTCCGTCGCTCGCTGTCTCTGTCTCCTGCTGTATTTCCGTCTCTCTCCCGTTGTCTCTGTCCCTCTCTGTCTCTCTCTGCTTCTCTCTGTCTCTCTCTGTTTGTCTCTGCTTGTCTCTGCTTCTCTGTCTCTTTCTGCCTGTCTCGGCTGTCTCTGGTTGTCTCTGTTTCTCTCTGCTTGTCTCTGCTTCTCTCTGTCTCTCTCTGCTTGTCACGGCTGTCTCTGGTTGTCTCTGCTTCTCTCTGCTTCTCTGCTCTACTGCTAGCCTGTTCTGTCTCCTATGTCTTCACTCCGGTTCTCCCCGACCTGCTTCGCTCCAGTCCCAGCGACAACTCAACTCGTTCTTCCCGTCTCCCGAATATATCCCCGTTCTCATTACGAACCAATTAATTAGGCCGCATGACACCGACGCCCCATGTCCCCCTGCACCTGTTACTTGCCCCCTCTGTTCCCAGACATTCCGGCGCCACCTCGCCCTTGACAACAACCCCAGCCAATCACAGCGGTACATCGCTCTCCAGCTTAATTGGCCCGTCATTACTGCACAGTTTCCCGCCGCCACATCTGGCCGGCCCGACGCAACCCCACTGTCCATAACTCATGCATCTTTACCATTCCCCCCTGTATGCGCGTGTTAATCCGCTACATATATAGATAAGCAACGTTTGTGGGCCGCATGGGCTACGAAGAAGGCCATTGCCCGAAACCTCGCTTATATATTTTTATTGAAAGGCCACAGTAGTTTTTATGAATGTGTTGAATTTCAGAATCAGAATCTTTATTTCGCCTGGAGTAATTCGATGAGCTACGAATCTCCTTTTCACAGATGTCTACTAGGGGCGTGTCAGTAGGTTTAAACAACAAACAATACAAAAAGAAAACGACGAACGATAAGAGTAATTTGTTTTCTTGGGTCTTTCGGTAAAGTCACGTAGATAGGTTCAAAGAAAATAACAAAATAACAAAAAACTACATTTCGATCGCAACACAAGCAATTGTCATCAAGATTTAAGAGTAATTTGTCTTTAATATACATATACTATTTGTGTTTTCCATATGCACATTACAGTCTCTGTGTTAATCCACTGCTGGGTGAGTGCCTACCAACGCTGTGAAGATTGTGAGTTATTTAACAATACTTCACCATGCTGATTGGTGCCACTTTGGTGAAGTAGGGTAGCATAGACACAGGAAAAGGCCTTGGCAAGGTAAGGTAATTTACCCTTTTTACTGGGTAAAAAGGTAAAGGGTAAAGGTGTCGACATGCCGAGAGGTAAAGTAAAGGGTAGGGTAAAGGTAGCATGGAAGAATTACCCGGTAGGGTAAAGGTAGCATGATTATTACCCGGTAAATACATTGTTTACCGCTAGCTAAAAGCTCCGTGGTGCAGTCCGTGGCCTCCATTTACAATTGGAATCATCGAGAGAATTATATATGACTAAAGCGCTCTACCTAGCATTTTACCTGTTATAAACCTTTTTCATGTGTAGTACCCCAGTAATTACCCTGTAATCAGGTAATTTGTATGGGGTAAGGATAAAAGGTAGGGTAAAGGAAGGCTCGTTGCTTTTGACCTTTTACCTTGCCGAGGCCTACACGGGAACATTGGAGTACAGTGCACTGGCGCCCACCACGTAGCTCCATAGCAGTCTATAGCAACCTGTTTGTGCGTGATGGTAGTCACGATGCAGGCTGAACTTTTCCTAGCTTCCGAGATCTGACAAGATTCTCGGGCATTTAAGGCGATTTGTTCATCGGCTGTGTGCCATATGCTGTATGCAAAATATATACTGTTCTGTAAAAAAACCCCACTGATAATTGCTCACTCACCGGTGTTTATATCTGACCGGGCAAGCTCTAACTCACATTTGGCACGGATCCCAGTAGGTCGGTAATCACGGTCAGGGTCGATTCAGTTCAATCAACACCATGAGCATCACCAACATAATCGTCATCACAACCATCATCTTCATCACAACCATCATCACAATCATCATGGCTATCATCTTATCATATTCAGAGCAGCGCCACTTCCTCGGGCCACATGTTCCCGGCATAGGCAGGTGGAATTTTTGTACGAGCTCAGGACAGTGGGAAATCAGCACCGCCGCACGCTCTTTTTTGGACAAAACTAACAGTCTCTTATATCAAACAATAAAGTAATAATCTAGAGCCATTTGTCAATCAACTTCTGTATGAAGGCCTCCCCGTGCCGTGTCGGTCATAGGGTTATTTGTCCTTATCTAACCACGCTGTTCAGTGCGGTCCCCAATGTAGTTGCCTAATATTATAATTGTTCCATTCATTGTTCGCTCCCCTCATCTACCAGATGGGGTTGGGGAGCACTGCCTTTGCTTTTTCCTTCTGACCATCATCAGCCACGATCTACACACTGCTGAATGAAGGTCTCCCCATGCTGTCGCCATCCCTCACGGTCTCACGGCATCGCGAAGCAACAATCCATCGACCTCCGCAGTGGCCCTCCTCTCCAGCGCATTCTCTGCTTTGGTTGCAACTTCATCGTTAGTCTCGGCCATCGGCCATCCCAGTGAATGTGCAAAGCTAACAGTGTGAACCTGTTCCTGTTTCTTTGCGCACTTCTCAGCTGATGTTCTGTCTTTGTGTTAGTCTCCACGTTTCTGATCCGTGTGCGTAGTGGGCGAGTACACTGATTGAACACTTTCTCCTTAATGCGCAATGGGATGTTTTATTTTCATCATTAAACAACAACAACACTCCTTCCTATTATCGTTAGTCTATTTAAAAATGTTGATCCCGATCCACCTTCAATAAACGCCTCGGGTACAAATATCCGCCTGTATTTTCTAGTACTGGGCCCTCCAGCAGACGTAGCGTACGTGACATCTACATCAGCTTTTATTTAACAAATGAATATTAAATTCCATTCATTATCCCCTAGCCATTGTAGACGATGGAAAGCCGTTTGATTAAATGGAATTTTAATGCCAAGAATGCACCTCTCCGAGTCCCTTGGCGTATTTTGTCCATCTTCACGTGGGCGCTCAACGCCTCACGCAAATTCATCACGGGCTCAGCCCAGACACCGTCAAATCTCGATTCACTGTGCACCCACAAGTCTAGAGAATTCCCTGTGTTAAAACATTCGTCATTACCACTGCCTTACGGAAAGTAAAAGCGGTTAATAAGCCAAATATTCGGAATGCGTCAGATATCGTAAAACAATCGGAAGCTAAGCAGAATGGAGCCTGGACTATACTTGTATAACAACGACAATAACAACCGATGTTCACCACGAAGTGGTAGTGATGTCACTACGGCGCTCGTGTCAGGCTAGGTGCAGTATAAGCAGGCAGAATTACCAACAATAACACCACCCTCACTGACAGCAGCATTACCACCAACGCCAACAGCTGTGCCATAAGCACTATCAGCACCAGCAGTAAAAACAGCAACAGCACCATCACTACCAGAGCAGCACAAATACTAACACCACAGCTACCACCACCAAAAGCAGCAGAGCAATAACCATCAGCAGCATCAACATCATCATCAGCACCATCAACATCATCAGCATCATCCTCAGCAGCAGAAGCAGCAGCATCATAATCAGCAGCATCAATATCATCAGCAGCATCAACATAATCATCATCATCATCAGAACCATCAACACCATCAACATTATCAGCAGCAACATCATCATCAGCAGCATCAACATCAACACCATCAACATCAGCAGCAGCATCATCAGCATAATCCTCAGCAGCAGCATCATCATCAGCACCATCTGCAAAATCATCAGCAGTATCAACATCATTATCAGTACCATCATCAACATCAGCAGCATCATAATCATCAGCAGCATCATCCATCAGCAGCAGCAGCATCATCATCAACATCAGCAGCAGTATCAACATCATTATCATCAGCAGCAGCAGAATCATCAGCAGCAGCATCGTCATCAGCAGCATCGTCAGCCCCATCATCAGTAGCAGCATGCCCGCTTGCCCCCCCCTTCCCTCGGCCCCCCGTGCCGCTGCTCCGATTCGGGTTCTACTCCCCGCCCCTCAGCGCTCCCCTCCTCCTTCCTTGCCTCTCTCCCTTGCCTCTCTCATGCCTCTCCCTCCCCTGCCTCTCTGACTTGCGTCTCCCCCCCACCCGCGCCTTTGCCTCTCTCTCTCTCTTGCCTCTACCCCCTTGAATCTCCCCCCTTTCCTCTCCCCGTGCCTCTCCCCCGCTATATAAATGGATGGACTCCTCTCCTTTTAGCGCTCCTGCTTGGGCTCAGCGTGTCTCAGAGCTTCTCTCGGTGTCCACCTCGCTGCCTGTTTGTTTTGCCCTCTTGGAGTTGTAAAAAAATTTTCAACAATTTCCACTGCCTGGTCGGGCCCCACAATCACCACCAACACAAGAACCACCACAAACAACCACCGACACCAACCACCAATGACTCCGGGAGCTGTAGAATCGTTGAGAGGGTGGCTGGTATTAGGGACGATCATCTTGCTCCATGTGTTGTCCCACAACTCCTCACAAGGTAAGATGGGTGCCGCGGTGGCGAGATATTAGCTGCTCTCCTGGTACACAGGAGGCCGTGGGTTCGATCCCGACCTGACACCTCTGTATTTAGAGTTAGCGCGTCTCTCTCCCCGTGGTCATGTGGATTTTCCTCTGGGTTTTCCCTCCACATTTAGAATAAACATGCGTTTCGAGTATTTGGCTGCTATAGATTTCCACATGATAAGACACTTGTGGCCAGGTCGCTTCTGAAAAAGAGCTATAGTGCTCAGTGAGCCTTACCTGGTAAAATCAAATTTTAAAAAAGTTTATGAAAGTTAATAGCGACAAAGCGGAGGAAATTCATACGAGTCGTATATATACATTCCACCCCCTATGTGCACCACATTGCAATTAATAAGTACACGTGTGCGTGTGTGCTAAGTAGTGGTGGTAGTAGTTGTTGCTAATCCGATTACGACGGATTAAAAGCCATGAGAGTATATGTGAGTGCGACAGCACTTGTGCACACACGGTTATTGCGATGGATTCGCATTGCATGTACAGCAAGCAGTTTGCTTGCAGGCGTTAAAAAAAGCCTTCGAGGAGTAAATCTGGCTGTAAAACTCAAAATAAAAAAAGTATCTGGGTAAAATAATGTAATTCTCTTTCTCTCATGCTCCGTAGACACCGTAGTGGACCGCTGTGATGAGTGTATTGCTGTGTATGACTTGCTGTGGAAATTCAGCACAGATTTCCTCTTGATTTCCTAAAATCACATTGAGCCAAACATTTAATTGGGTAATGCTTTTTATAATTTACCCAAGACAGCGGTGGAAAAGTACATGCTTGTAAAGTTAACTATATCTTACTAATACTTTAAAACATTTGCGTTGCTACATTTTCAGTTATGTTCTCCACATTATTTGTTTACATCCGAGGTTGGATGGGTTCTCACCTGATTGTAAACTTTCTCTATGTATCTGTGTCATTAATAGCTGGTGGCTTTAATTATTATAATTATTTTTATTCAATCACTTTTGTTGTCTTACTCCGTTGCTCGTTCAATCAATGGTGTAGTGGATAGAACATGCCTCATCTTGAGCACACCAATTTCTATTCACGATGTTGTTTTATAATATAAACTCTTGTTGCCTTTTGATTATTCGCTCAATCAACCCCATCATCTATTTTGGGTAAGATAAAATGATGACAACCTTGTAGGCAGTCAGCAGTGGTTTATCACATTCATAGACCTGTCATCATAATGTGAAATTTCCACCCCTGGTTCAAGAAACAAGCAATGTCCTAAATTAATTGAACCACCGACACGATAACTTTTATGAACTGTATAAGTCTAGGGATAAACAGTTGTAGTCCGACGGACAGACATTTATCCACAACGGGAATGTGGAAATTATCTGTGGGTGAGAGCTGTTTTCCATGCTGTGTTTTATAGAGACTCTAAGTTAGCTGTGTAGGTGAGGGCTGTTTACACGCTGTGTGTGATAGAGGGTGTAAGCGGGATATGTATGAGGACTACATGAACGCTTTTAACACGCTGTGTTTGATAGAGGCTGTAAGCGGGCTATGTGAGAACTATGTGAGTGCTGTGTGTGTGATGGGGGCTATGAGAGCTCACGCAGCCCACCTCCTTCCCCTACCCCCCCTCTCTCCCCCCTTGCTCCTCCCCCCTTTCTTACCTATATAACCTCTTGCCACGGCAGCTCTCTCGCCCACTTCAGCATTTTTGCTTGCTGTGGTGTTCCCACCTGATGAGGATTGCTTGTGTTGCGATCGAAACGTCGTGATTTGATGTTTTATTTTATATTATTTTATTTCTACCTACGTGACTTTACCGAAAGAACCAAAGGGTATAATAATTTTTTTCACAAAGCCGCGTGGTCCACCAGCTGAGTGTTGAATTCATCATTGCGCCCCCTCACCCACACCCTGGGGAAAACTGCATGAGTAGACGACCCTGCAGTGGGGAGGAGCATCAACACAATAGCACTTAACACGTACACTCAACACATTCCTCAATAACACTGCCAACAATTGTTTTGTCCTTCCCCCGCACCTCCGATTAACAGGGTTGGCAACGTACAATTCACCATACATACGTATGATTGGCGACGTTTCGAGCAATGGCCCTTACCTTCATAGCACATTCAGGCATGTGTTATCGGCGAATGTGTTATTGTTATTGGTGCATGTGTACCACTGCAACATGTCAACAGCATCGCCAACATAATTTGTACAATCTCATGTTCAGTACAGGGTGGTCCAGATGTCTTGCGACTCCTAATTCATTGATCCCTAACATTATTATTTTATACTAGCAGGAATTACCCGGCGTTGCCCGGGTCTTAAACATATTTCAAAACTACTCTTAAAAATCTAACAGCAGTGCGTACTGACTGTGGTGGTACCTGCTATGATTACAGCAGTGCATACCGACTGTGGTGGTACCTGCTATCACTACAGTAGTACATGCTGACTCTATAGCACAAAGTACTCACCTGAGAGAGTGGCGTGGTGAGGCCTAGTCCCATGCAGAGCCTCTGGCCTCGCCTAGATTGTCCAGCCGGCCGAGGTGGCACCATGGCAGGCTGGGCTGCTACCCCTGACCCCCCCCCCCCCCTGACCCCCCCCCCCCCCCCCCCCTATCAGGCACGATGTCCCCGGCCGCTCTGCAGTAATATCTACGGCCTATAGTGGTAGCATCTACCAATTGTATAGTAGTATTAACTGCATGCATCGGGGTGGGGGACATGAGAGCATTTAGTGTATTTTTATAGGATTTTTAACGTGAAAGAAAATGTCCCCCTCACTCCCACCGAAGGCGTGCAACTTGGCATGGGCCGGTCTCCTCACCAAAGGCGCGTGAGTTGGTATGGTCGTCACGTCATAAATAAATAAGAAAGTGCACAGAAATCGAACTAAATCGCTAATTCAAATAATTAAAAGTTGATGGATGTGAAAAGAAATAGCGCTTGCTCACGGCGGGGCTTACCGCGTGGCACCTGGCTATTTAATCCCCCTCACTCCCGCCGAAGGCATGTGACTTGGCATGGGCCGTCCCTCCCACCAAAGGCGCGTGAGTTGGTATGGTCGTGCACGCGTCATAAATAAATAAAAGGGAAGCATACAAAAATAGCACTAAATCGCTAATTAAACTAATTTAAAGTTGACGTATGTGAAAAAGGAATAGCATTTGCTAACCGCGGGGCTTACGGTGTGGTACTTGGCAATTTTTTTTACGTAAACCCCACCGTTGAAGAGCCAAGCGCGCGACCACACACAAACCCCACCACAAACAAACCCCGCCACAAACCCACACACAACTTTTTACTTTTATATATATAGATTACTTACATTACTTACCCATTGGTGTACAAAATATTACAATTTTGAGAATTGAATGTGGGTCACAAGACATGTGGACCACCCTGGACTTAGCGCCCCCCAGTGTCGTAGCGAGGGTTGGGGCCCGGTGGGGGGCGAGATAGGGTGGAGCGGCCGCCTCAGGCGCTACGTCATAATTGGTGTCCCAAGTATTGTGACTGGAGGTGGGAAGGGGAAGATGGCAGCCGAGGTACCAATGTGTCTGGTTCCTCTCCAAGATGTAATGAAATTGTGACCCATGCGGAAAAGTTACATTTAATTTTGTTTTGCATTAATGACATTAAGTGCAACAAAATACATTCTGGATTTAGGATTCATATAGCGTCAAAAATCAATCGCACTGCACAGGAATGGTAGGGCAGGCATCATTATAGTCGTGGAGGGCAGCAGATTTTAGGATTTGTTTTTGTTTTTTTAATGTAATCATCATCTACATCGAATGGTATTCAATTAATGCACAAATGGGTTTCCTGATGCAACGTGAATCCCGGTTGGATTTTATTTACACAGCAAGGAATAACAATAGCAATGGGCTGGTTTTGACTTTGTTGACCCACATCAACGGTGATTGGCCTCTTCCACCAACGCCATTACTGCCTATTTATTTATAGCATTGTGTTCGAGCCGAGAGAGGCAGTCTATTCAGCGATGGACTACTCAGTGTTCCCAAGGGGGTTCTTATTTCAAATACGCACGCGCATGGCACCATTCGGAATAGAACTTGCGTTGTTTTTTTTTTTCCTGGAAGTTGGGAATTCTATCTCGAGGCATAATGAACACGCGCACACACACGCGCGCGCACGCAGTACCCGCCGTGATCTCGCCGGCGCTATTTTAAACGGCGGCGACCCACACACAGACGCTCGTGTTTGATGAGCGACTGGCACATCCCAGGCTCCGATCCAAATGAATGGTGCCCAAAATAATTAGTTGGGGCGAGCGACCTTGTTTGGCACCAATGGGCAACAGCCGCCCGTACCAACAAGCCTATGCCCATGCCCCTCGTCCTGCCCTGGTCAAATCACCTAGCAAGCCCTTGTGGCAAGCAGACCTGGACATTGGCATTTATCACCCCATCTACGCAAGGATAGAATAGAACGTGGCACGCTCCCCATCTCATCAGGTTCTCGGAAGCTTAAGCAGAGTTGAACCTGGATGATGCTTTGATTGGTGACCACTGCACAACAGGTTAATGTGGAGCGGCAGGACTTTGTGGTCGCAGAAGAAGGCAGTGCAGCAATATACACGTAATTATTTCTATACATCTACGTTACATGCTCATTGCCCTCACGGACCCCCTCTACCTAGCCTGGTTAATTAAAAATGTTCAAATCATCCCCATTATCCATATAGGCCTCCAGAAGCCAGCATCCTGAAATGTGTTGACAAACAGAACTGTCTCTCTGCTAATCTCTAGGGGGACGGTGACGGGTTGGGTTAGAAGTGGTGGAAATTTCATATTGCTATGGCACAATGTGGTACCTACTTTAACGCCCTCAAAGAGATGATGGGCTGAGCTAAACCCCGCTCGGGATTTAAACTTGCAAGCTAGGAATTGAGGTAAGTCTTATTATATTAATAACTCGTGAGAAGTACCCGGCGTTGCCTGGGTCTTAAAAATATTTCAAAACTACTCTTAAAAATCTAACAGCAGTGCGTACTGACTGTGGTAGTAACTGTTATGATTCAAGCAGTGCATACTGTGGTGGTACCTGCTATGATTACAGGAGTGCATACTGTGGTGGTACCTGCTATTACAGCAGTGCATACTGTGGTGGTACCTGCTTTCACTGCAGCAGTGCATACTGTAGTGGTATCTGCTATGATTACAGCAGTGCATACCGACTGTGGTAGTACCTGCTATGATTGCAGCAGTGCATACTGACTGTGGTGGTACCTGCTATGATTACAGCAGTGCATACCGACTGGTGCTACCTACTATCAATACAGTAGTACATTCTGACTCTTTAGCAGTATTTATCGACTGTATAGCACAAAGTACTCACCTGAGAGAGTGGCATGGTGAGGCCTAGTCCCGTGCAGAGCCTCTGGCCTCGCATAGATTGTCCAGCAGGCCGAGGTGGCACCTTGGCAGGTTGGGGCTGGGCGTCCCCCCCCCAAAGGTGCGTGAGTTGGTATGGTCACGCACGCGTCAGAAATACATACATAAAAGGGAAGCGCACAAAACTCGCACTAAATCACTAATTAAACTAATTTAAAGTTGATGGATGTGAAAAAGGCATAGCGCTTGCTCATGGCGGAGCTTACGGCGTGGTGCCTGGCTATTTTTATTTCACATAAACCTCACCGTTGGAGAGCCAAGCGCGACCACACACAAACCCCGCCACAAACCCACACACAAATGTTAACTTTTATATATATAGATAAGGCTACCACCTCGCTGAGTACAACTGCTGAATTTCTTATATTCACTCGCTGACAGTCCCTTGTCAATCAACTGCTTGATTAAGGCCTCCCAACGTCTAAGTTCTGGGGGTTGGTGGTGAGCAACCTAGTATGAGCTCAGATATCCTTTGCCACTAATGTTGGGAATCAAACTCAGGTCGCCCGGTTCATAGTGCAGTGCGCTCACAGCTGCGCCACCACCGCACCCCAAATTCTAGAATTAGTGCTCGGAAATGAAAGCGAAATAATTTATCTTTTGTATAAGTGAGCCAGTGGAATACATTCCACATTACTATGGTCGAGGGCTAATACATCCAGAGAATAAGCGGCACTGAGTTTAAAGTGATAAACATCAGCGTCTGGTTTCGATAGGCAAGTATTTATGGAATTACCACAGTCTCGGGATTATAAGATGCAATCTTTCCCTTTAAAGGAACATTTGGGGTTTATTTTATAGTCTAGTCGGTGTGCGTGTGAGACCAGATGCGTATCATAACTTTTATTGACACGGCGCAAAAAGTTTTAGGGTTTGTCTTACTTTCTGGGGCGTCTTATAATCCAGAGAACGACAGTAATCCTGTAAATGGGTGTACAAAGTTTTATGGGCTGAATGCCTTGAGATGTAGAGCACTAATGAGTGAGTCTGTGATTCTAGCCGGGGTTATATAAAAATCCAGTCTGCATTTGAGAATCATATCCATTCACATGCAAATTCAATCATTACACGTTCCATGTCTCATTATTAGCAAAAGTGAAAAGCCTGTATGGGGGGGGGGGGGGGCTTTAAAGACTGCACAAAAATCCTTGGCACTGTATGAACCTGAATTTCTATGGCAAAATAGGCAAATCTGGGAACAAATAATAATTTACTCAGAGAGGCCTTATTGAATCTCAACTCTTCTTTAAGATTTAACAAATTGTGTGATGCTGCTGCGTTGGCGGTTGGTGCACAAGCATAATTAGCAACAACAACAAACTCAACACATTTATCAATAACACTGCGGCCTAAAAAGGAAAAAAATGTGTAATAGGGCGACATTTCGGAAAATGGCCCTTCTTCATGGCACATACATCGAGAGGTCAGAAGGCACAGACTGGATGAGAGTTGAAGAGTGCACTCGTTTACACCATTCAATCTCATGAGATTTTCAGATACTGTATATTATTATGTTTTCTAATGACCAGTTTTTTAATTGGCACGTGAATATTTACCGAATAATAGCTCTTGGGTAACAAACCCTTCGCATCTTCTTTTGTGTGATGGGAAAAGCTTGTAATGGGATGTCTAGTTTTGGCGATCAACCCAGTAGCTTCCCGAGATGCTATGTGGAGAATTGATGTTCCTTCCCCAACAGATGTCATTGGACAGATCACACAAAAGGGAATAAGACTCAAAGATCCCCACATATTGATTCACAAAACCGTTTGGTGTGCCCTTTTAACTCCCGGCCACTGTGCAGTGACGACTGATTTGGGATATTCACAAATCTCTGAGAACCAACAACCGTTGCCTCCAAAGCGTCAGATTTTCAGAAGTTTGGCCATTACTTTTTACACCAAAACATCCTAAGTACATCGCAAACAGAGGGGGTATTTTTGTGTCAAAATGAAAATTTCATAAATCTGACAAATACGCAAATCAGCATGGAGACGTGATTTCTAGATATTCTTCTGAGACAGGAAGATGAACAATGGCTTAGATACAGTGATAATTAAACTAAGTCGATGGACACGTCATGGCTAAAAGTGAGAATGCAGTGGACCACCGGTGGACATGAGTTGAATATCTCGGTGCATTTTGTGTGAACGTGGGGACCCACTTAGTGTGTGCGCTTGTTTGATGCCGTGTGTCGTTGTCTATGATGTTGTGGAGTGTGCTACGAATTCGGCAACCCGGGATCGATTCCTGCTCATGGTCAACACCAGTGACGATTATCTGAACCGGTCCTGAGCCTCCTCTAGGTTGACTCGGCCTCAAATGAGTACCTGGTGCGGTGTTAACATCGCCACTGACATACAAAGGCGGCCGGGCGTGGTGCCGTGCCGGCCTTTATAGGTGCTACTTGCTAACAGCACTTGCCCCAACAGTCTGTTTAGGCTAAATGGGGAATCTTTGTCTTTTGTGTGTGTGACGCTGCGTGTGTGTGACGCGTGAGTGACGCCCCGTGTGTGTGTGTGACGCCCCGTGTGTGTGACGCTGCATGTGTGTGTGTAACGCCGTGCAGCAGGCAACTGCTGGCTGCAGCAGACACGCGCCGGGCGGTGCAAGGAGCTGTTGCGTGCGGGCGTGTCGCGGGACGAGTGTTGCCGCGCTAGCGGGCCCGGCGGCGGCTTCACGGCGGGCGACCCCTCCTCGGCCACGCTCTTCCGCTGGCTCGCGCTCACCGGCGGGGCGCCCAACTGCACGCCCTGCAGAGGTGGGGCGAGGGTGGGAGAGCTGCAGCGACGTTAAGTGTCTGAATCACGCGTGTGTTTCTCATGTGTAATTTCACCGTGTAGACGGTAATTGGTTGTCTTCAATTACGTAGCAAAAATTAATTTAAAATGTTGTACTGTGTCTTCATCACACGAGCACTGAGAAATTTGTGATTTGCATGCATTTTGGTAGTGGAAGGTGGCAGCCTTGGGAGGGATGCGTCCAGGGATGTACCCCTCCCTATGGCCGTGGCTTCTGAACACTCCGGCCTTCGAGCGACCTCGAAAATGTTCAGTGGCGAATTAATGTGGAAACACCACTCCCTGTCCGCGCGGCCTCTGCCTCGTTAATGGGAGTCGCGACCAAAATAAACAACTGCTGATAGATGCTCACCCCGAGCGCTCATTACTTTGATAGTGCATTGTCTTTGAGCTGTACGCCTTTTGGCGTCATCTGGTCGAGCACCAACTAGGTCGAGGCTCAAAAGAAAGCCGTCCCTTGGTGTGGACCAATCAGTTTCAAGGACAATGCATATATTATCATAGTATGTTTTTTGTTTGCATTTTAACTGCAGATATTGCGGTTAATGCAGACATGAATCCTTGTAAAAAGGTTTCAGTTTTGTTGCCAGAAAAAATGGGAAAAACCCTATTATTACATTTTGGTACTGGCAAAGGAGGTCTAATGAAGTACACGCATGTTTTGCTCAACTGGGAAACAAGGAGCAATTGTCACTCCAGCTGTGAAGACATAGCAGGGCCCTCCTGAAAATAGTGTTGAGACTCAGCAAGCAAACGAAATATTAAATAAAGAATACAGGGAGAGTGGAGTGCTCTGAGTGTAAGTTTATTGCCTTTAGGGACATTATTGGTATTGTTAAGCAACTAACAAACAACTGGGACAAAAAAACATCGCGGAAAAACGTACAGATTTCCCAGGACAGCCTCAAAGAAAGGACAATCCTGGGAAAACCCAGGACAGGTGAAAACCCTTCTGTCAACAGACCGTGTAGCCTCTCCCTCTATTCGCCTGCCTACCGTCCTGTCTCTGTACGTGTCCAACTCAATATCCCTTCCACTCCAATGCCACTGGGTTGTCCAGGGACAATGCGGTAGCTCCAGGTGGACACCGCGTGCCACCTTGTGTGTTCTCGCCAAGAAATCCACGCAGGGGAACGAGGATGGTGACAGCCTAGCAATACCCTTTGGCGCATCAAGCACCACCTCTGCCTTTCTCTTGTTCTACTTTAATTAGTTATTAAACAAAACTATTTTTATTTTACCAGGTAAGGCCCCATTGAGATATATAGCTTTGTTTCAGAAGCGACTTGCCCACATATGATAGCTCAATAAAGTAGCTTATGTGGAAATGTATAGCAGCATAATACTCTAAACGTGTTTCTAAATGTGGAGGGAAAAACCGGAGGACCTGGAGGAATATCCACGCGACCATACGGAGAGCATGTAAACTCTAAATATACAGGCGTCAGGGTCAGGATTGAACGCACGACCTCCTGCATACCAGAACAGGTAGTCAGCATCTCGCCATCGTTAAGCACCTGCTCTGATTTGCACCTTCCATCTAGCTCTGATTGCCCTTCCATCTAGCAATATGTTCGTCCGTCCGTCCATCATTTGCCCGCCTGCGAAATCCGATTTTGGCCATCTGTTATATTGTCCCCTGTGTCTCCGTTATATGAAATCACCATTGTCGCGAGCTCGCGCCAAATACTGACAGCTTATTCGAGAGAGCGCAACAGCGTGTTCAATGTCGTGTGCGCACTTGGCCAGACCATCGTCAAAATCTTGACACTCCGCAATGAAGCAATGTTCAACTCCCAACCCTCGTACCACACTACGATCTCTGGAGGCACCAAGATGGGTGGTTGGGTGGGTGGGACGATGCGCCGCGCACAAACGACCCGTTTATTTTTTTGTGTGTGCCAATAATGGAATTAGGACCACGCTGGGCCCCCTGCGATGCAGCCTCCAGCCGTCGGCTCTGCTGGTGGGGGCCGGCGGGGTGTAGACAAGGTCCTTGCCCTCAAATAACCCCCCGAGTCTGTTGCTGCTGCCACCAACTGCGCAGCCCTGGTGGACTTGCGCCCCCCCCACCACTGCATCCCCACCCCCCCACACTGCCCTCTTCCCCACCTCACGTCTCCTGCTCAGTTGTGTCCCATGGGACGGCGCTGCAAGACTCTCGGCGTTCACGCGTGGGTCCTGGGGTGGGGCAACCTGAGTTTCCTCCCCTCCACTACTAATGGCTAAAGCCCAGCGCCACGCCGGAGATCGGGGTGGCCATACAGAGATTTTGGGGTGGCATTGGTTGCCAGCTCAGAACCATCGTTTTGTTTTTGAATAGACGGTTCGTTGTTTTTTTGCTACGAAAGGAAGTTTTTTTAATATCAAGGCTGAGTTATTTGAGCAAGGGGCTGGCTATTTTAGCGAGACAGACGCTGGCTCTGTTAGTGAGGAGGTAGAACGGTGTTTTGTCAGCCTGCTGGCAGTTGGGCTGTTCGTCAATGTGGTGGTTGTTTTGAACGATTTTTTTCAGTATTTAAAGCCACCGATGGATTGTTTTATCAAGGTCGCGCTGGCTGCTTAAGCGACGAGATGGATCGCTGTTTTATCACAGTGGGGGGTGGGGTTGGGGCTATTTATGAAGGTGACAGCGGCCGGCTATTGTTGCGAGTGTGCGTGGTTCTGTTTTCGCGAGCTGGCAGCCGGGCTCTTTCATCATTGTGGTATTCGAGAGCCTCAGACGCACATGGACTTGAGCCGCTGTGCCTCGGCCCTGTTTACCTCGGCGAGCGAGAGCGCCCCTGTTTACCTCGGCGCTAAGACCGTTTGTGCCCCGCTGTTGTGGCCACGGCGCGGGGCAACACGTGATGGGCAACACCGCGCCGTCTGAAAAGGGACCGTGTGGCTGTGGCGCTCGGGAGTCAGGGCTTGCTTCTTTGGGGTGTTCACAGTGGAATCTCACGCTCTGGTAAATTACTAAGCGGGCGACAGAGTTTTAATATTTTCACGTCTGCCTGGGAGTATTTTTGGTAGAAATGCAACACGACAGGTTGATAATATCGCACGCTGCGTTATGTAATACTAGTTTGTGGGAAGTCCACTGTTCTTGTCTCGTTAAGAGAGACTGATCCCTTACCATGAATAATGTGGAATTTCCACCACCGGTCATTTTGAGGACCACCAACAGAGATGGGTACTGTTGTCCATCCCCCGCACCTCCAATTAGCACGGTTGGCCAGGTACGGTTAGAAAGAAGTTCAACATACATATGTAGTGGCCTTATTGAGTTGTACGCCTTTTGCCGTCTTCTGGTCCAACACCAATGGAGACTAGGCTGTCTCGGGTGCAGACCAATCAAATTCAAGGACAGTGCATATTATTATCAGAGTTGTCTTTTTTGTTTGCATTTTGACTGCTTGTGTTGTGGTTATTGCAAACATGATGCCTTGAATAAAGGTGTTAGTTTTTGTGCCAGTTAAAAGGGTAAAACCTATTCCTATGGCCTTATTGAAGTCGGAGATTGTTCACTCGAGGCAACACGTATTTATTACAGATACTTCAATTACAGTAGCGACCCTGACACTCGAAGAGGTAACGGCCTCTTCACCCGTGCTCTATAGAGGGAAGTGCTCCCCGAGCTTAAGCCCACGCTAGCTCCCTAGTTCCCTCTATCCTAGTCCTCTCTCGGGAGGCTATCTGACCTGGCCCAGCTTCGGCGCAGGTCTCGATCACCAGCCACATGAGTCCGGCCCTCAGAAGGACATCGGCCCTCGCGGCTCTGGTGTCGCACCCTGGCATGCTTTGCCCGGCTCTCAAAAGGGCAGCGAGTCAAAGGAGTTCCAGGGTTTGGCTAGTCGATCTTCGTTCTTCACTGGCTCTTCATCTTGACTGGGTTGAACTCCCCCTCAGCTCTCCGGGTCCCACCTTTTATGCTGTGTCTCACTGAGGGGCGGGGCTGGGAGGGATCACAGCATTCCCCACAGCCCCCCAGGGTGGTGGCCGTAGCGGCCATGTTTGTGGCCACCGTTATACAACCGTGTGTCACCCTCCCGTAACACCACTACACATACAACTCGGGTTTGCATAGGGCGGGTTTGTGAACCCACTTCCTTGCAGGGCCATCTCCTGGGTTCCCCGCTGCCTGGCGGGTTTGGGCCTTTCGTAAACTCTTCGCGATCCACCAACCCTCACCCTCAAGAGCGCCGCACTACAGCCGTGCATCACGTTGCCCGGTTATTTACTTACTCGTGTAATTATGGGATAACACACAGACGATGATGTACGCAGAAGTGACCAGGAAGTGACAATTGCAGCGCATGTCTTTGTGACGCGAGAGAGCTATTACTTCTCATTAGCAGCAACAGCAGCAGGAGGTAACACTCAAAACGTTTTTTTTAAACAAGATGAGCCAGATGGAAACGTGAGTGCGTGCGTCTTTGTTTGTGTGCACGTGTGTGTGTGCGCGTGCGCTACAAACCCGGCGACCCGAGTTCGATTCCCGCTCACGACCACCAACACCAAAAACGAATATAGGTCAGCCTCAAATTAGTACCGGGTGTGTTATGTAATCGTCGCCACTGGGGAGACAAAGGCGGCCGGGCGTGGTGCTGGCCACCCCCCACCCTTCGTGTACCGTGCCGGCCTTTATCGGTGCTCGCTTACAGCAAGCACTTGTCCCAAAAGTCTGTTAAGGCTAGACGGGGGATCTTTGTGCACGCGTGCGTGTGCGCGTGTGGGCGTGTGGCGCGTTCACTGCTGGAGTTGGTCTAATTAAGGGAAATGCACCCGCATGACCGGCCCCGGTGGGTGGAGAAGCACTTGGTGATTGTGTCGGGCCACATCGCCGCCGAGCAGGAAAGTTCAAGTGAGTCCCAGAAAGAATCTAAGAAAATAAGCAAAAATCTAGGGCAGCGGATTGGATACGGTCACGAACAAAATGGGAGGTGGGTGGGAAAAAAAGGCACGGGAGACCAGCCAT